GGTGCCCGGTGTTGTCATCAGTGCCTAATTACTGCTAATATTTTGAGTGAAATGCTTCAAAGCCTCTGCTGCGTAGCTTGTTTTATCTGCCGCTGCTGCAGTTTTGGACAGATCTAAATGATAAAACAGCTCATACGGGTCACCCTGCAATCAGGGCTACCCTGATCGGCAAGGTGACTCCGGATCCGCGCTTTAGATCCACTCCGCGTTTTCCCACGCTCCGCCGAAAAGACGCCGAAGTCGCCTGTAGCTTGCCGTGATTTTTGACGGCGGCCTTTATGATGACTGACCCGCAAACAGCACCTTCCTATCCACATGCTAAACGCTCCCGTCCCACGTTCATCTGTAGATAATAAAAAGGCATGAAAGAGCGAAGAAACAGGGATCCTTCATATGGGGCCGGCAATGGGAACATCGCACCTGAAACGCCGATGCGTCTTTATGAAACATAATTTATTAGGCCTAATCAATGGTAAGCGACTGATACCGTCTGATAACCTACACATTGCTCTCCTTTGTAAATTTAGCGTTTGACTGAATCTCCATTTTTAGATTTTTTTTGTTGTTGCAAACCAAATAACAAATTATTGGTGGTATGTACAGTAATATTCATATTAATATAAAATATTTTTGAATCAATGCTCCCAGTCAGAGGACAGCCTACGGAGCCCCTGAAGGGACCTATGCAAAAATAAATAAATAAATAAAATACCCATACTTTCGCGTGGCCAGTACGTCATCACTGATGACAAATGACTATAACTGATTGACAGCTATATATCCATTTTTATAGTTATTAGTCAATAAATTCTACCCTTTGTACTTTGAACGGACACAATAAAATGCACACCATTTAATTGTCAGATTATGTATTTTTATATGTATTTATTAATAATTTCACTTTGTCAATGTACCAAAAGCAAAACACCAGTGATCCATATTAGTGATAGGCAATACCTTAGGCGTTACTCATCCCATGATTCATTTTTAGGATGATAGCTTATTACAAAAGCAGATTAGGCATTATACCATAACTCCAATACTGTGATAAGGTTAGCTTATAACAAGATCAAGCAAGACCCCTTGAATTTTAATTAATATTTCAATGTTTACAGTTGCACTTCACACTCAATAGTTTTCCTGCCTGCAGTCACTGGTGATAATTAGACACAATGCCATTATTGATAAATACATGTAAAAATACATAATGGGATAATTGTTTGTATTGTACTGTGTCCTTTCAAAGTACAAAGGGTAAAATTTATGGACAAATAATAAAACTAAATAGCTGTTACTCGCTTACAGTCATTGATAGTGAAAGGATACTGTGCAGTTATTAATAAAAACACCAGGCTCAGCCCCACTGGGTACCGGAAGTGATGACTACAGTGTACTGACCCAGGGACGGATTACGGACCGGGCCAGCGGGGCCGCTGCCCAGGGGCCCTTGGGGTGCAGGGGGCCCATGGGGCCCCTAGCCCAAAACAATTTGCAACGCTTATCAACAATGTATTTTCGTTTGTCTATTTTAGAGGGCCTACATTCTTTGATCCTCTGCCTACAAGGGCCCCTGACCCTATAGGGCCTCTGATGGAAACATGGAGGGAGGGCGTTTGGCTGCCAAGGGCCCTTGAATTGTGGTGGTTGTGGTGGTGGTGCTGGTGGGGGGGGGCCCTCGCGAACTTTTGCCCAGGGGCCCACACAACCCATAATCTGTCCCTGTACTGACCATGTGAAAGTTTCAGGTGCGCATGCAAAAGTATGGGCATCTTCATTTTTTGCACACATCTCTTAAGGGGCTCCGCACCGGCCTTTAGTGACGGGGTGATTATTTATAGACATTCACTGTATAGACAGCGGTTTAATGTTTGTACAAATACACCAGCCAATCAGTGGTGCTTCAAGACAGTTACAACTGGGAGGAGCAGACTGGGGCCAGTTGTTCTGTTAGGGGGACCAGATGCATTTGACCGTAATGTCCTCCAAGTATTCTTACAGTAGATTGCCAGCATTAAGAAGCAAAAGACAATTTTGAAAACCGATAAGTTATCTATGCAATGTTTTGCAGTTATATTTGACAGTTTTTACAAATATGTAGCTGCGATTTCTTGTTTTGACTGCCTTTCTTCCACAAATCTTGATTATTCTGTTTCTGTCATTAACTTCGTTTTTCGCCAATTGAAGCGACTCGACCACCCGGCGCATCCGCATTAAGAGTTTGTCAAGAAAATGTTCTTATGTTTGTGTTTTGCCTCTTCCCAGTGCACAGAATTTTAGCCCATGTATATAAATGTAAATAATAATAATAATAATAATAATATTTTTCAGACAGAAGTAGAATATGTATTTAGGGGGGCTGTGGGGGGGCATACATGTTGTATGCCCCCCCACGTGGGCACTGGCAGTGAGGAGGTGGGGGCACTGGCCCCCCTGTCACCCCGTCACCCCCCACCACAGTTACCCCTGCAGCTGTTGTTTTCATCGGTGCATCTCGGAGTGACATCACTAGCCCTTGGTTACGGCCTCAAACAAACTCAGTGTGACAACATAATTCCTACTGTTTTGGATATCGGACATATTTTAATGTTACCACGGTTGTCGCAACTGTGTTTTTAATCTTAGTTTTTGGTTGTTGGAATATTTCACTATTGTGAACTTTTTGAAGGCCTAGTTGCTCGATTTCCATGCTAACGGGGCAACCTCCTGTACCAAGGTGATGTGGGATTGGTTTAAAAACAACTTAGCTAGTGTCTAGTAGCCCAATATACCAAATATGTAATATTTAGAAACGGCCTGCTAAATTGTTCAGTTGGCCTACACAGGCAGAGTAAATGTTCAATTTATTGGTATGTCCGTGGAAGATCTTTAGAATGACTTTAAATACTTTAAATTGTTTTGTTCTGCTTTTTTCTTCTCTGGTATCAGAAACAGTGAGATCTTCCCTCATGTACAAAGTACATTATGTACAATTTCTATAGGCAGTGTAATTAAATAATTGTAAAAGACAACCAAATATTACAGACGAACTGTAAAACACAATAGAATTACTTACACAGGCCCCTGAAATTTAGACATCTAGCTTATTGTTTTAATCAGTAAATATTCAGATTTAACAGCCTATAACTATGCCATAACTTGCACATAAAAGCATTTTCTAACAGCATATAGGGTGGTTGATTACCTATAAAGTAAATAACACTGTTTATGAAATACCTACACCTAAATTGTTCAGTGTTAATAAATGTGTATTCTGTACAAAAAAAGTTATGTTCTCCTAGCTGGTCTCATTTATTTTATTCGGTACAATTTCGGGGATATTTTGTATTATTTTTGAACACATTAAATACTGTTGTACAAAATGGTAAGACACCTCCCCTAACAGAATCAATTGTCATGTGGATTCTTAGCAAGATGCATCATAGCAGGTTCCACTGTGTCAGTCTGATCAATCGGCCAAATCAGTCTTCCAGCTCTGGGAGCATGAACAGGTGCGTTTGGCAATGCTTTACCAGTCATGGCTTGGATTCCATCTTTAAATGACATTAAAATGTACATTTACAAAGACTGGCTCTATAATTTCTTCCCTGGAGTGACTGTGGATTCAGTTGCAATTGTTCTGTATGTCAGTTGTCTTGCCTGCGTTCTGGGAATATAAATGCTGATGTGTGAATGTTGCCCCATCCTCTGAAGTCTCTTTACAGCAGGGGTGTCAGACTCCAGTCCTGGGGGGCCGGAGCCCTGCACAGTTTTTGGTTTACCCTCATTTAACACACCTGATTCAACTCCATGTGCTAATTACCACACAGCCCTTGAGCTGAATCATTTATGGTGGAACAGGGAAAGAACTAAGCTACACAGGGCTCCGGCCCTCCAGGACTGGAGTTTGGCACCCCTGCTTTACAATTTCCCACTTAGCGACGAAGTTGACTATTGGGTAAATGTAATATGAAAAACTGAGATAAATCACTTTTGTACTCCTTAAAAACTGTAATGTTATACATTTTATGAAGCATTAATGCACACATTTTGTGAAACACCTACATGTCATCTTATGACATTTTTCTTTTCAGAAAATAGTGTGATATGCATGTCTGTCAAGTTCTTATGTTGATGACCCTCAAGAATTTGTTGATCCTGTATGCCTTTAACAGTTTCTTGGCTACACCATGTGAATTAATAAATATGCTTGTTTATTTTGTGTTTATTTGACATTGATTGGCACCTACTTGTTACATAATGAACTTTGTGTGAGTTTTTAACATTCTTTCTTTTGTTAAGGTGCCCTGTATTTGTTACTAAACAGTGATCCATAGCTCAAAGTTAGCAAATGGTTATCTTGTAAGCTGCTTAAGGACAGATAAATAATAATGTGACTTTCTATAAGAGCCATGGATGTCACTGTTTCCTGTCTATATCCTCACAATTTGTTTTTGAAAGATCATATTATATCTTGCTTGCTATTAGTTGTAATTTTGTATTACAAATATAAGAATTGTTATATACTGTAATCAATATTAATTTTAACGAGAAGTGTTTAAAAAGATATAGTAACATAGATGCAACAGTATTAACTTAGATGCTTTTGAGTGTTGACTTACTATCCTGAGAGAGTATTATAATTGTATTACACCTGCAGGGTTGTGGGTTTGAATCCCACCTCCATTGTGGGTAGGGGCGCTTTGCATGCTCCCCCCGTGTTGTGTGCCTTTCCTTGGTGTAGGCCTGCTCCAGTTTCCTCCTGCAGTGCCAAGGTACGGAGTTAGGCTAATTGGGGTCTCAGTGCTAAATGCTACAATGTGTGCCACGCTAACTCGGGTGTCTTGGGAAGTCAGTCTTTTTCATTTCAATTTTATCTCTCTAGATACTTCATGTGTGATTTTTTTTTTACCTAATGGTGGCACCGATTGTTGCCAGAGGATGAATAAACATATTCGGGAATAGGCGTACGCCCCAGAAAAGAAGATCGCAAGTGAAATCGTAAACCCAAGTAAATTACTGCAGGTGTCTCTTAATATGCAGAATACATTTTATTTTATAGGCCTACGGAAGGTCTAATTTCCGTGTATGACGATTGTCCTATCTGATAAGCCTACACTTTTTATTCAATATAGTTTTTACATGATACTCGACAAGCAGTCTTTTAATTCGCGCAGACACCAAAATAATCCCCGTCCTAAAATAACGCGAAAGCCCCTTAGCCCAGCCCCCCGTCCCCGCCCTTCTCATAACAGGCGGGTTTAAGTCACCTATAGCCGGCATGGCATTGTCGGCTCTGGCCTCCATCCAGCAGAAAGCCTGGAAAGGGACTGGCTGCCTCCCCTGCGCCGTGTAGAAGCCTAAATGCGACTCCGATAACTGTAAAGGGAAGGGAAGAGCGGGAGCGATCGGCTTCTTTGGAGGGTCGCTTTCAAACAGGGACCAGCCGCATCGCTTTCTTTATTAATGTGATTTGAACACATTGATCATGAGCCTCCTGGGCGGCTACAAGAAGAAGACCGGTTATGGGTGCGACGGATATGAATCTTTACAGCTGGTGGACAGCAGCGGCGATCTCAGTAACGGGGATCGCGGAGGCGGCGGCGGCTTCTCGGCGGCGTCCAGCCCGGCGGCGAGGGCGGTCCCGGGAAGACCCGGCGACTGCAGCACCATGGACAGCTCAGGTGAGGGACCCGGCGGAAGCGCGGTGTCGCTGCCATGTCCTTTAATGCACGATCTAAAGTTTATAAGAAATAACGACGATGATGATGATGGTGGTGGTGATGATAATTGTAATAGGCCTAATAATAGCCTAATCGCGACGCTAGGTTTTGGCCGGATTGCATGTGGTGTGATGTGTCATGTGAACCACACATGGTCTCATATAAGACCTGTGTTCATGGCTGCAGAGGCTGTGCTGTTATCGTCACTGTTTAACCTGTGAAGCCGATCCCGGTTTCATGGTGTTAAACGTGTCCCTGTTAGTAGCATATATCAGTACTACTGGTAAAAAATTTAGTACTGTATGTTTTGGTCTGCATCCGAAATACGGTTTGCCTATTTAGGGAATGTTGCATGCGTTTCCCGTGGGAGTGCTGCAGGTAGAGAGCCTCGACAACCTATTTATTAAACGCCACTGCTTCGTGGCATGATAACCAGAGTTGGCTACGCTGCAATGCACTGGGAAGTGAATGGACTCCCAGCACAACCTCCTTCGCCTGAGTCGGGATAGAGATGGTGTAGGGTGACGGGGTGAGGACGACAGGATATGGTTTCAGGTGAGCGCTGACCCCTTCGGGCCGGGGCGCCGCAGACCGCCTGTGCACCACAGACACGGCGCGTGGAGCGGAGCTGCGGCAGAGGCCGGCGCGTGGCGCAGTCCCCCAGCCTGACATGCAACCTTATGACGGGTTGCTTTTTAAACCACTGTCTTCTAATAGGTTTAGCTTTGAAGGACACGCTATGCTTATATTCTGCACTAAACTCGTATAACACAGGTAAGGTGCAATGATTCTAATCCTATAATGATTGCTGTATGGTTATCTGATTACTGCAAAAAATGGAAAACAAACTGCAATATGTATTTTATTCAATTGAATTGCATTATGCTTAGGGATTTAGATATTTTGTAGTGTATATGTTTCCAATGTAACATTATCATTTATACATCATCTCTTATTAAAACTACTACTGCTGCTTCTGCTCATAATAATAATAATAATAATAATAATAATAATAATAATAATCACCGAGGTTATAGTATATGCTGGCAGACACATTGTCATCCTAGTATGAATTTTAATTAAAGTGGTCCCCCCCATATTAAACTCACTCCTATGCTGTTGAACACAGATGCTGTAAACTGTAGCACAAATGGCCCTCCCTCCCCAGGTGAGATGCAGTGAGGAGGTGAGGTCTGGTTCACTCTGATGATTTATTGATGTCAGCAGGTAGGGTCACATGCAGGAAGTTTCAGAGGCCTTTGTGCTCTGAGCATGAAAGCGGGTTCCCTGATTTCAGAGCAGGAGCTGAGAACCCATCCATGTGAGTGATTTTGCAGGGCTGGGGGGGTCCATCCCAGATCTAAAGAATGGGGAGAGTGGGCTCTTTGATGCTGGCTGACAGATGGACAGATGGAAATTTTTGGTCCGGAAAGGGATTTGGGACGGAGAAGCCTTTTATGATGGAACTTTTGATTATGAGAGAAGGTCTAAGATGGAAGGTGGTCTTTGTGAAAAGCTGAAAAAAATGATTGAAGAAGACAATGTCTCCTTTGCTTGCTGTACGCTGAATTCCATATCTTGTATGGGTGTAGATGGGTGGCACTTGGTGTCTCCGCCAGTCTGATAGCATTTCCTCAGACACTAATATGTGTGTTTGTGAGCAAACCCTACGTGGGCATGCAGGCTGCTCTGGCCACTAAGCTATGTGTGGGTGCACTCATTTCATTCGTCAAGCCCTGCTTCCATGCAGGCTTACCATTTCAGTAATACTTACCATTTCAGTAATACTTACCATTTCCGTGCTGATGGTCACTGAGATGCAAGAAGACACAGACGAATGCTTCTGCAACATCTTAGCGAAATGCTTAATGGTCCTGAGTTATGTGGGCTGTTATGTGCGGCTGGTATGTGATACTGATACGGAGTCTTTCTGTCCATAGAGGGCGAGCCACGTGGGTGGTGGAGATAAGCTTTCCTTACCAAAGTGTTTCTCCGACTTGGCTTCATGCTCTCTTGATGTCTCTGAGTGGTTGAGATGATGTATAAATGATCAAACTATACTCCTATTGACTCATAAAGAGATGATGTATAAATGGTCAAACTATACTCCTATTGACTCATAAAGAGATGATGTATAAGTGATCAAACTATACTCCTATCGACTCATAAAGAGATGATGTATAAATGGTCAAACTATACTCCTGTTGACTCATAAAGAGATGATGTATAAGTGATCAAACTATACTTCTATCGACTCATAAAGATATGATGTTTAAATGATCAAACTATACTCCTATCGACTCATAAAGAGATGATTTATAAATTATCAAATTATACTCCTGTCGACTCATAAAGATATGATGTTTAAATGATCAAACTATACTCCTATCGACTCATAAAGAGATGATTTATAAATTATCAAACTATGTTCCTATTGACTCATAAAGAGATGATGTATAATTGATCAAAATATACTTCTATCGACTCATAAAGAGATGATGTATAAATGATCAAACTATACTCCTATTGACTCATAACGAGATAATGTGTAAATGATCAAACTATACTCCTATCGACTCATTAAGAGATGCAGTATAAATGATCAAGCTATACTCTTATTGACTCATATAGATGATATTTATACTTTGGCTTATAAAGAGATGATGTTTGAAATATACTGTACTGTTAATCACAAAGAGATGGTATTTAAAGTATCACACTATACTCTAATTGACTCATCAAGAGATGGTGTTTGAAGTATTACACTATACTCTGACTCATAAAC